GTTTCGGCTACATTAGCCGAAATTCGCTTCAAAGGTTGCGACTCAGTCATTATCACTGAATTCGCTTCCCCAACCAGTTGGTTGGATATCAGTTAACCCACTGAAGTCTATGTGGGACAAGTCTTCTCTGTCCCATTGGAAACCATGCTCAGGATGCAGGTATAGGGAACAAAAAGTGTTTGGCGCTGGCGCCATGTCGAAGTCAGGTGTTGGACATGGCCCTATGTCAGCCAAATTCTTGTCGAAATCTGCCAAACCCAGGTGATTCACTTCGCCAAGGTAATATCTTTGATTTGCCTCTATGTTTTCGACCATCCCATCTGGACGCCATAGAAGCAGCCTTTGGTGCATTGATGAAGGCACAACGCCAACACCATGAATCCATTCACGGCCCAACAAAAGATTGTAGTTAGGTTTGGCCGATATGACCATAAACATCGTTGGTCGAAGGATCGACCCTACTTTGATATCTAGCTGGATCACTCCCATAGTGGTCCCTATGCCGCCCTCATAGTTCGACAGGACCATGTTGTGAGGCTTAATGTCCTCATCCCTTTTGCCAATTTTCCTTAGCATAGAGTGAGGAATAATGTTGATGGTTGCCCCACAATCCACCAATATTTTATTCACAGTAGTTTCTTCGAGTTTAGCCCTTATGAATAAAGGCTTGAGGTGATTTTTCATCGCCTCTGTAGGTGGCTCGAAGAAGCCATTTTGTTCCTCAGTAGTGCCATTGTCCATGACAAAATAGCACACTGGCCTATGTTTGGCCATTTCTTGCTCCACTTCCCAGTCACTTGCTTCGACTTCTACCTGTCGATTGAATTCTCTGGGCAGCACTGAAACTATATTCACCATTATGTCCAAAGTATCATCAGACTCAGCATCGTCTTCGTCTTCGACTTCACTTTGGTTAGGCCAAACTAGCCTGTTGGTCACTGGCTCTCTTTCTAGAGGTTTCCTTTGCTTCCTTTGAGGAACGTTCGAACTGGTTTCTGCCTTTGGTTCGTTGGCAGCCTCCCTTTCAGCTTTTCGTCTCCTTTGATATCTCCTCCATTGAGATCGAGACATGGGATTTTTACCCTTGTAATTGCTGGACACTGGTGCAACCTTAGGTGCAGCAACTTGAGGCTCTTTCTTTTGAGTCAAAGAGGAACCTCTTGGCACCTCGAAGGAATGCCATTTCTCCTCACTTGGCCTTTTCCGACCAGAGGTTTTGTACCAAGTATCTACTGGCACATTTGTTGGAGGCCTAAAAGTCAATGGCCTCTTTTCTTGGTTAGAACCTCTTTGGGAGGCTTTTCTGGGATCATGTCGAAGGTCAACATTCTCCCTTCTCTTATTCGCTGCTCTTACACCTTGAATGTGCTCAGCAGCTTTTTTATCAAAGATCGAACTGCATCTTGGACACAGCATCACCTCTGATTTCTTTTTCTGGCATCTTTGTAGAAAATATGCCAAGTTTTCATTTTCTCGAGGGAAAGCAGTATTATTAGCTTGTTCTCGCCTCATGGCCTCTTCTGATGCTTTTGGGTCAGAAAGTTCGACCATGTTGATATTCATTGTATCTTTGTTAGCAAGACTTAACTGCTTCATTTGTATCTCCAGATTCTCCGTCTGGCCTTGAACGGTGGCCAAGTGGGAACTGGGTCTTGATCCAGTTTTTGTGCTTCAGTGGTCTCCGACTTCGGGTTTTCGACCGCTTTCTGGACAGCTTCAATCGTCTTCCTGGACAAATTTCCAGAAAAACTGCCAAAGATTGGCATGTTGATGTGATCCTTTGAGACTTCGACCATGGTAATTCCTGGCTTCTTCGACTGGATCCTGGTTGCCTCTATCACGTTCACCTCAGAGGGTTCAGCATAGTGGGCTTCAGCCTGCAATGGATTTGAGTCGACAGCCATGGGGGATTTGTCAGCAAACTTCAATCTCCCTTCTTCGATAGCGTCTTGCACAAGATTCCTGAAAAGAAAACATTGAGAAGTTTTATGGCCCAAAATATTATGATATTTGCAAAAACCTCTCTTCTTTCTTTGATCAAGAGGAGGCACTTTTACCCCTGGGGGTACTATCATTTGGCCATCTTTAACCAGCAAGTCGAATATTTCATCACATTTTGTGATGTCAAAACTATAAGTCTTTTTTGGGAACCTATCGTTGGTCCTTTCTGGACCAATGGGATTTTTCCCATTTGAGGGGACTAACAGTTTACAAGAGTATGGTGGCCCTTGTTTCAGTTCTGCTAAATCGACTTCTCCTTCTTCGACAGTTAAAGTATCGTCGAAGGATTCTAGATCTTCGTCATCCATCTCAACGTACGCTATCCTCTCTCTCTTGTGAGTTTTCGTTGCCTTAGCTTTTTCAGCTTTGAGGCGTTCTACCTGTCGAACTCTATCGGCCAGTTGGGCCATGTCTCTTAGGTATTGGGTTTCTAGCTTCTTCCTAATGGAATAATCTAAACCGCCTGCGGCTATTTCGACCAACTCATGTTCTGGCACTTGTGTAAAACATCTCGCCTTGAGCAACCTAAACCTATTTAGATATTCGTCTATAGGTTCAGTGAAGCGTCTCTTCACACTGGCCAGTTCTTTCAGGCTTATCTTGGTTTGCCCCATGTAGAATTGTTCATGGAACAATCTTTCCAACTGGGTCCAATGATGGATCGAATTGGGGGGGAGAGTTGTAAACCAAGTAAAAGTGTTCTTTGTTAAAGAACTTGGGAAGTACTTGATCCTTAGGTTTTCGTTATTCGAAATGTCACCCGCTTCGATCAAATATCTCGCCACATGCTCGACAGTAGATTCTGTCGTGTCCCCAGAGAACTTAGTAAATTTGGGGACTTTGCATCTAGGAGGTAAGTCCGTTTGTAACACGTATTCTGACAATGGAGATGTAAAGTTGGGCCTTCGAAAGCCCATGTTCATCCCATTCTGAGTCATGATCCTTTCAATCATGGTTGCCAGATTGTTTTCCAAACCCATGTTTTGGTATTGGATATGCTGAACCACTTCGTCAGCATTTTGGTTTCTGTTAACTAACCTTACCTCTGGGGCTATTACCCTAGGTTCCTCGACAGGTTGTTCCAATCGTGCCCTAAGGTTTTCTTCGACAGGCTGTTGAGCCTGGTTAATGGTGGTTTCTTCCTCTAAAAATATCCCCTGGTTTCCCCTTATTTGCGCCCTTTGGGGCTGTCGAATAGGTTGGGGTACTCCAAAGAAGTCAGCCAAACGCGTCATTTGCGCTGTCATTTGCTGATTCGATTGAGTAGTGTTTTGTATTAGAGGGTTTAGCACTGTACTCAAAGTTTGTGCCAACATTTGCACCATATCATGGTTGCTTTCGTCCATTTGTTGCCTCAAGACTGCTGTCGAGGCATTTGTAAGGCCATGGGCTACTTGGGACGTTCCTCCTAAGAGTTGGGTCCTATTTCTATTCGCCATGCCTACTCCAGAGCCTTGGAGTGGCGAAGAGGCACTCACGAAAGGGTCTGAAAAAGTGGACGCAGCATTCGTCAGGCTTGCCACTTCAGAAGTTGGCATACCATAGAATGGAATAAATCCTGGGGGAACCAAAGGCCTTGTGCCTAAATTTCCCCTTGGTGGGGGAGTTCCCAAAGGCATCCTGGGGCCTGTTAACGAAGGTATTGGCCCCGTGGTTGTGAGCGATACTGCTGGTATCGAACCAACATTTGTCGCTTCACTTACGGTCGTACTAACCGTTGCTCCCACATTCGTTTGTGGGATTTCGTTATTGTTTGGCGGATTCGCCATCTCTTCCCTTCTTCTGGCAGTATTGTTATCGTTAGTGTATATTCTACCACTTCTCAATAACATACAACTCGAAAAGATGAGATTATTTTCAACAATCAACACACAGTCCCACCAGGTGTGCCAATTTGTTTACCTTGGTATTTGGTAAACAACCGCTGATCCTCCAAATGGTTACTTATTTGGTTACTCGCAGGATCGATCAGATTGATCCTAGGACATAGGTTGATTTTGAAGTTTTGATTAAATTGGATAAGGCTTTAAATAAAGAGGCTTTAAATGAAATAAAGAGGTTTCAAGTAAATTGCATGAAGAAAGGACTTGGTAAAATAAACAAGGCTTAAAGTAAAACGCTTCGACAGGAATGTAAAGAGGAAAGCAAGTAAATTTCTGGAAAAGTAAATGACTTTGATTAATAAAATTGGTGTTTCACACATACATTTCTCAACAATTCTTTCTCACACGCTGGGTACTCGAATCTATATGAGTGACTTTGTATAGAATTGTGAACACACGCGAGAAACTACATGTCTACTACTATTTATACTAAAACATCCCAAGTAACCGTCGGGTAGTTACACTGCTTCGAGATGATTACACTTGGCACGTTCTCAACGTTCGACGCTCCAGATCTTTGCACGTTAAACGTGGTAACTGCTAGAAACCGTTTTCCCTCCAAAAGCTTGAATTTCAAACTGCTCCACTCTGAACCATCGAACCTTTTCGTCGAGAGATATCTTCGACGAGAAACTCCTTCGACGTCGAAGGCAACCAACTTCTCCCTTGGAAGAAATCTTCTAAGTACTTTGCCATCTTTCGACGGGCATTTCGACAGACTTAGCCAGTCGAAAACATCCTTCAGCTTTAATGGCTGACATCAACAAAACAAAGGTGTCGAATTTAGGAGCCAACAATATGTCGACACAAAGATAACATGTGTAGACACATGAGTCGGCACATATAAAACATGAATCAACACATCAGTTAGCACATAGAAACAGATCCTACAGACTTTAATATTGCAGTACATGTGTTGACTCATACATCGTATGTGTTGACATATAGACCTAGTTTTAGTGCAGAAACTCATTTTTAATGCATGATTCCTTTTCCAAACATGTTATAAATGCATCCTAAGTACGCTAATGAAAAGGTGCACATAAAGACTCAAAGATACCGTCCAATATACATAAATGCTAATGTTATCCTAGTTTTGACATCATGCAAAGACATCTAATGAGCATGTGCACTCACAATGTATACATCATATTCACCATCATCCGAAGTGGCCAAGAGTTCTCGGTACGTGTCTTCAACACTTCCTATCTTAAAGAACATGTTGATGGTCCCTTCAGAATAAGACACCTTTACACCTCTAACCACCACTTCAGCCTTATTATTTGTGGTGTCAACCAAATTTGCATAAAACTCTTTCATGATCTGGGTATTGTAAGGTTCAGGTTTATGACAAAATTTGTTCCATTTCTTTGTTGAAATTATCTTTCCCATGTTTCAGGGAGACCTAGGTTTTCATCTAGCATGTCCAAGATGAAGTATTTTTCAGAATGCTTACTCATCTCAAATAAGTAGTCAGCAAAATTTTAGCTAGCATCAATGTTGATGAAAGCCTCTCTAACAGATAAATCATTTGCTGAGTAGTCAACCACTGACATGGCATTTTTGCGAGCAATTATTTTGTAGCGTCATTGGGTGTAGGTAGGATTCATTATGAAATTAGGGTTTGAGTGTTTGGGAATAATGGAGTGTTCCTGAGAATGAGTGAGATGAAAAGTTGAGGGGAAGTTCTTGAGGAACAATTTGAGAAGAAATAATGGTTTGAGAGTTAAAGATTTTTGGAAGATGAGAAAATATGATGAGGGAAGTTGGTGGTATGTCACATTTAAAATGGATGAGAGAGGGGAAACAAAAGGTAAAGTGTTAATTTTTGAAACTGCTAAGAGAGAGAAAGAAGGGCAACCGATTAGGCTAATTGGTGGTTACTTGTGGTAGCACCCAAAATCAAAAAACATGAAGACAACCATATTAACGAGTCTGTCCTATTAATGATGTCACACACATGGATCAAGTGCTTGTCTATGCGCGTAGCCTTGTTTTCTCTCTCCTGCATTCAATTTTGTCTTTCATGCACATCTCTTTTTAAAGAAAAACTGCCACTTTTCCTTGTTTTCACTGAATTCAAAGAGACAATAATTGCTTCCTTTTTCACGTTTTCCTCATCAATGACTTTTCCTTATTTTTAATTACTTTTCCAACCTTTTTCTTCATAAATCAAAATCATCTGAAAATTAAACAAACTAAAAATATAAGTTAAGTTGGGCTGCCTCCCGATAGTGCTATTTTATAGTCTTATATTCTTACTATAACAAAAATCAAGATAGTTCATGTAGGTCCAAATTGACCCTTGTGTTGTTCAAGGATTCACAAAGATAAGACTTAACTCTTTGTCCATTCACCTTGAACTCTTCACATATTCTCTCATTCAATAACTCAACTGCCCCATGAGGATAAGTTTTAAGTAATTTGAAGGGGCTAGACCACCTATACTTAAGTTTTCCTGGGAATTGAACAAAAGAACTTGTTGGCCTTCTACAAATTCTCTCTTTTGGCATGCCACCTCTTTTTCTTTTCCTTATACAACTCAACATTTTCATTGAGAACAACATATGCTCTCATTGAGTTGGAACATTCTTGCTTGGCACCCATTAGATAAATTAAAATTTAAAGTCTTGGTAGCCCAAAATTCTTTGTTTTCTAACTCTATTGGCAAGTTGCATGCCTTACCATAGACAGGTCTATAAGGATACATGCCTATAAGAATATTGTAAGCTACCCTATATGCCCATAGATCATCATCCAAATGCTTAGACGAGTACTTTCTTGAAGTATTAACAAACTTTTCCTATATATTTTTTATCTCTCTATTGGAAACTTTAGCTTGTTCACTACATTGAGGATGGTAGGTTGTAGCAACCTTGTGTTTAACTCCATATTTTGACATCAAATTTTCAAATACTTTGTTGCAAAAATGGTTTAATTCATCACTATTGATTGCTCTAGGAATGTCATGTCTAGAAAATTTGTTTTAACCAAAAATTTAGCCACCACCCTAGCATCATTAGTTGGAGTTGTTACTGCCTTTGTTGAGAATTAAAGTCTAAGTGAATGTAATTTCTAACCAAGTAGTTGACAATATTAGCATACCACAATGTTATGCTACAGGTGATTAACAACAACTTTTCATCAAGAAAAATCTTGTGAATGTATCCATTGTTCTTGTTTTGTACTTCCTCAAGCAGTCTTGAAATATGGTCATCAACCAAATTCTTTACTCCTTTCTTGTCTCTGATCTCCGGGTTAAATTCTTGTAATAAAAAAACCCATATTATAAGCATATGCTTAGCATCCTTCTTGGCAATAAGATACTTGATGGAAGCATGATCAGTATACACAATGACTTTTGTTCCTACCAAGTAGGATGTGAACCTCTTAAAAGCAAAGACAACAGCTAGCAACTCCTTTTTTGTTATGGTATGATTTATTTAAGCTTTAATCAATGTACAAATTGCATGGTAAATGGTATGAAATACCTTGTTATGTCTTTGGCCAAAAACAACTCCAATGGAAAAGTCACTAACATCATACATCAATTCAAAAGGCTTTGTCCAGTCAAGAGTCTTCATAATTAGTGAAGAGATCAGAGATTTCTTTAATATCTTAAAGGTATCCATACATTCCCGACTAAAGATATAAGGCATATCATGTTGCAGTAGTCGGCACAATGGCTTAGTTATCTTGGAAAAATCCTTGATAAATATCCTGTAAAATCCAGATGGCACAAAAACATTTTAATTCCATTGATGCTTACTAGAGGTGGAAACTTATTTATCACTTCCACCTTTGCTTGATATACTTCTAATCCTTTCTTTCAAATTTTATGCCCAAGAACAATACCTTTTTCACCATAAAATGGGACTTCTCCCAATTCAGCAAAAGATTGCTTTATTCACATCTGGTCAACACTAGATCTAAGTTGTCAAGGCATTTCTTGAATGATTATCCAAAAAAAAAATCATCCATGAAAATCTCCATGGAATTATAAATGATATTTGAAATATTTCCATCAAGCAACGTTGAAATGTGGTTGGAGCATTGCACAGTCCAAAGGGCATTCTTCTAAAATCAAATGTACCATAAGTACATGTGAATATTTGGTTATAACCAGAATACCCATCCAATAAGAAATAATACTCATTAGCAGCCAACCTATCCAACATCTGATCAATAAATGGAAGAGGGAAATGGTCTTTTCTTATGGACTTATTCAGGTTCCTATAATCACACAAATCCTCTATCATGTAACAGTTCTAGTAGGAATTAGTTCATCTTTCTCATTGCTGACGACTGTCATGCCACCCTTCTTTGGCACACAATGAATTGGGTTTACCCATACACTATAAAATATATGGTAGATAATACCAACATCTAACCACTTGATAATCTCTCTCTTAACTACTCCATTCATAGTAGAGCTCAATTTTCTTTTACTTTCAATGTTATTCTTAGAATTCTCTTCCAACAAGATTCTATGCAATGGTAACTTCAATGTTCTAACTCAAGGGTAACTTCTAATTAAGGTGAGCTATGCTTCTTCAAACCAGGAGGAACTTAAGCTGATTTTGATTATTACTCCATGAAAATTTGGGGTGGTTCCGCCAACTAGGATTGTAGTTATTGTTGTAGGGGTTGTTATACTTGTTACTGTCAGCATAGTTAACTGAAACTGTGTTGGCTGAGCATTCTTCAAATATATGAGCACCTTCACAGTACACACATGCAACCTCTGATGTGTCAGTAACCACCTTGATAGGTTCAAGCTTTGTCACTTCAGTAGTCATCATATTCTTCATCATTTGGTGGGTTTGAACTACTTGAGCAACAAAGGATGTGGTCTTAGTGACCTCATGAACTCCAACATGTATCTTCTGAGTTGAATTAGTAGTTTCCCTAGTGAAAAGTCATTGATAAGTGTTGGCAGTGATACTCTCAATCAACCTATAGCCTTCTTCATAAGACTTGGATAAAAAGGCTCTACCACTTGAGGCATCCAACTTGTTCCTTGAGGAAGGCACTGATCCATTGTAAAAAGTCTCAAGTTGAATACATATTAGTATGCCATGGTGAAGGCATTGTCTAAGAAGCTACTTTAATATTTCCCAAGCATCAAATAGGGACTCATCATCTCCTTGCCGAAATAAGGTAATCTCATGTCTCATTTCAGCATTCTTGGAGAGAAGGAAATACTTGGCCAGAAACTTCTCAGCAAAATAATTCCATGTGGAAATGAAATCAGGCTCCAAGGAATTTAACCATCTCTTGGCTATTTCCCTAATATAATATGGAAAGAACCTCAACCTAAATGCATCATCAATGACACAAGGGATCTTAAAATTACTAGAAACATCCATGAATTATCTCGAGTGCAAGTGAGGGTCTTCATTTGGAGAACCTGAGTACTGGCCAGTGGTTTGCAACATCTAAAACATCATAGGCTTAAATTCAAACTGTGTTGCAATGATTTTTGGTCGTATGAACCCAATACTCATGGCATTGTGATCAAAGATTGCATAATCTATGACGTTCCTAGCCTTGTCATTAGTATACCAATAACGTTGATTTCTTTTATGACAACTTTCGCCTCTTGTTTTTCTTCTTCTAGCATTATCTCCTCTTATTCTCCTAAGTCAATCAGATTAAAGGGGGGTGGTCTCCCTGGAAAATATCCAGTAAGTTGAAATCTCCTTAGTATCCTGAGAGTTCTTTTAGGTTCAGAATCTCCTTTGTAAGCTAGATGCAAAAACCTACACACACAATAGCTAAGCACTTGTCGTGACACCAGAGTACAAGAAAAATAAAAGGCTCAAATTCTTAACCAACAAAAATATAGCAATGAATACAAAATAAAAAATTCAACTTGGTACTCCCCGGCAATGGTGCAAAAAATTAGTTACCATGGAAATGTGTCACATGCAAGTATACATGTATGTTTAAACGTAGAAAGTGATAAAAAGTAAGGAAAACATACCCATAGGGAGTGAAATTGTTTTTTTAGATTGATTTTTCTAGAAATTATCTTTTGAAGTTAAGCATGAGCCAGGATAAAAATAATACTGAAGTGTCACACGTTTAGTTTTCTCATAAAGAATGTCTAAACAATGTAAGGTGATAGTGGAAATATATCAAGAGAGAATATGTTGATCTATGATCCATTATTATTGTTAAAGTAAATATGAGTTCATGATGTGTAGTTTCATTCTAGGAAAGGTCAGAGTGATCTAGAGGTTTATTTCTACAACATCAAGCATGCATTGAAAGGCAAGGGAACAAATCTCTAAGTCACAGTATAACCGTAAAATGTGTATATTTGCATTATGAAATCCCTTATAGTTATATTTACTTATCTATAAGTGTACTAATAAATTCAATATCTC